AAAAAAAAAAAAAAAAAAAAAAGAAAAAAAAAAAAAAATAATAAATAAATAAATAAATGATGAGCAAATAAATAATAAATAATAAATAAAAGAGATGAAATAAATAAAATAAAATATAAAGAAAAAAATAAACAAAACCACCATAACAACAACCCCACCACCATCAACCTACCTCTTCTCTGTTCGGCGCGTAGCGGCAAGGCTCGCACAGGAAGGGCACTGGTGTGTACGGCTCCCTGCTGCTGCTGCTGCTGCTGCTGCTGCTGCTGATGTCTGCTGCTGCTGCTGATACTTCCGAATGAAGGCGCTTCGCCATCCTCGGGATGGCTGCAGGCGTAACCGGGGTGCTGCTGCTGCTGCTGCTGCTGCTGCTATCTCTCCCATCAGCTGATGCGCCAGCTGTCCTCGCGCTGGTGCTGCTGCTGTTGCTGCTGCTGCTGCTGCTGTTGCTGCTGGCGTTGTCTTGCACGCCTGGTGTCTGTTTGAGCCGCTTCAAGGAGCTTCCACTTGTCTCCTGCTGCTGCTGCTGCTGCTGCTGCTGCTGCTGCTGCTGCTGCTGCTGCTGCTGCTGCAGGTCGGGGCGCAGCGCAGCAGGCAGACACTCGAGAGGGACCCCGTAACACATGCGGTGTACGGTGACCCCGCAGCGCGCGCAATAGAAGAAGGGGTTGCTGCTGCTTGCTGTTACCTTCGGCAGCAAACAAACAGAGCAGCAGTGGTCTTGATAGAAATCTATCTCGTCCAGTGCACTCCGCTCCACGCCATCATCTGCTGCTGCTGCTGCTGCTGCTGCTGCTGCTGCTCCTGCTGCTGCTGCTGCTGGTGTTTCTCCAGCCTTAGCAGCTGCAGCAGACGCTCCTGCTGCTGCTGCTGCTCCTCCTCCTCCTGCTGCTGGTGAGCCGTCGGCAGCTGAACCTCTGCCGCCGGCTGCTGCTGGCCCCTGTGCTGCAGCAGGTGTCTGTCCCGCAGCTGTGCCTCCAGCTGCATGCGGGGTAGCAGCAGCAGCAGCAGCAGCAGCAGCTGCTGCTGCTGCTGCTGCTGCTGATCTGCGTGTAGATGTAGCTGAAGCAGTAGTAGGAACAGCAGCAGCTGGTGTTGCAGCATGAGCAGCAAGATTTCCCTTTGAGGGTGTGTTTGGTGGGTTGTTGCTGCTTGCTGGAATCCCCGCGTTCGCTGCAGCAGCAGCAGCAGCAGCTGCTGCTGCTGCTGCTGCTGCTGCTGCTGCTGCTGCATTGCTGCGGCGTGCTGCTGCTGCTGCAGCAGGAAGAACTCGCTTGAGAAAGAAAGCCCCCTTGCGCTCGCTCAACGCATACAGCTCGGGGTAGTGGTCCCGCGTCACATATCGCCGCGTCCGCAGCACGGCCTGCAGCGCGCAGCTCCTTCTACGCAATACACACACAAACCCTAAACCCTAAACCCTAAACCCTAAACCCTAAACCCTAGGCCCCTATACAGTGAAGTATAAGCGGAACCTGAAGAGGAGACACGGTAGAAAGCGCTGTCATTATAAACCCTACAGG